CTATCCGGATAACAAGGTGGTTAAGTTAGATATCCGGATTAAAAGATGGTTTAGTTAGATATCTGGGTTACAATGTGGATTAGTAAGATATCCGGATAACAAGGTGGTTTAGTTAGATTTCCGGATTACAAAGTGGTTTAGTTAGATATCCGGATAACAAGATGGTTTAGTAAGATATCCGGATTACCACGTGGTTTAGTTAGATATCCGGATTACAAGCTTGTTTAGCTAGATATCTGGATTACAAGGTGGTTTGGTTAGATATCCGGATTACCAGGTGGTTAAGTTAGATATCCGGATTACCAGGTGGTTAAGTTAGATATCCGGAATACAATATACCTCTCACTACCCTCTGCGAGACATACGGATAAATCAGGTTCCTATGTAATAACAATATCCCAATGAAATTTCAAAATTCACAAGGTTCCAATATAAGATATCCGGATAAAAAGGTTTCTTTGTAAGATATCCTGATAGCAATATTCATAGGTAAGATATCCTGATAACAAGGTTCCTATGTAAGGTATCCGGATAATAAGGTTCCTATGTAAGGTATCCGGATAATAAGGTCTTTATTTAAGATATCTGGATAATAAGGTACCTATGTAAGGTATCCGGATAATAAGATTCCTGTGTAAGATATCTGGATAATAAGGTTCCAATGTAACGTATCCGGATAACAAGGTTCCTATATAAGATATCCGGATACTACGGTTCCTATGTAAGATATCCGGATAATAAGGGTCCTATATAGGATATCCAAATTGCATGGATTCTATGCCGGCTTTATGGATAAAAAGCTAAATTCTTTAGATATCTGGTTTAAATGCGTTCGTATTAAGGAAATTGATGTGGTGTCGTTGCAACTAAGTCATAAACTTCCCACATTTATTAAAACAAATCACCTACAATTGTTTGTTCAGTGCAGCACACTTGGTTTACATTGTAACAGCTGCCACAATAAAATATGTTTCATATACGAAACATAAACAAAAAGATATATACTGCGTTAGTTTGCTTTCTCGCCCGCATTCGATTACTCATAAATTCACACCGATATAACGTGTATATATATGTACTGGTTGTGGAATTATTATGTATATTTTATTAGACACCTGCCAGCTTTAATATAGAGCAATTTGTCATGGTAATACACCATCTTTCATATCCCAATAATATATCTTTTGTAGATTTTTAATGAAATACAATTTATTTTATGTATATATCCGAACCTCGTCGTAATAAAATCGTGAATAATTCGTTTTTGGTCTAAACACAGTTTTATTTACATGAGATTAAGTAAAACTCTCGATAAATTGCCGTCACTCGTACTTAGAAATGTTGACATTATTAAAAAAAAATGACATTACATCGAAGAATACATTAATAGGATGCTGAAATATACTGTATATAACAGATAGACAATATATCGAAAGTTTACAGTTTATTTTTGCGAATGTCATTTTATCGAAGTTGTATGGCATAAACGAAGGGTATTGTATCAAGATTTTACTACATATAAGAGATTGATGATATCTCGAGGGGTTTACTGTTTATATTTGCAATTGTCACTATATCGAAGTTTTATGGCATATAGCGGAAAATCAAAATACAGTACAGTGTACCTTTTTCCCTGATAAACCAATAGAGACACAAAATATAACTTATGATGAAATTAAGAGCGAGACCATCTCTGTGTTTTGCCGACCTATTTACACTTGTGCGTTTACGTAGATTTGGTTCAAGTATATCAATAGTTCCACATAGACAACATTGACACCATCCACAGACAGAACATCCCAGAGCTTACTGTGTTTTATAAATAGGAGATCGTAAGCTAGTTCCAATTGAATGCGATTAGCGAGTGTCACAAAATTCAGATGGAAAGGGAGATAGTTTAAGATTCTAGTACATTCTATACTCCACTAAAACATGTCCATTTACATAATAAATGACACTGGGAGGGTTTGTAAACAGAAGCACTACAACGTTTTCTGTCGACAAGAAAACGGGAGGGTTTTGTAAACAAAAATACGGAAGGATTATATGTCAATAGAAATACGGAAGGGCTACGGTCAACAGAATACGGGAGGGTTTTATGTCAACAAGAATACGAGAGGGTTTGTGTCAACAGGATAACAGGAGTAAGAAAGAATACAATCTCTAAGGAAATGAAAAGATAAATGAGAATGGTATAAATTAAAAAACAAAATATATAAGATTACTATATAGAACCTGTTACGTGAACAAGTTTATCTTTTAATTGGGAATGAGACAGAAAATAAAAGACAACGATAGCGTCATGAAAAATGTAATTCGAGCTCAAAATCAATTAAACTAAGGCAATGTATGGAAAAGGCAAATATTCCCTTAAAGATACCTGTAAAAGTACAAATATAAGACCATATGTTCCGGAAGGGTAAGCATCTACTGCTTTTCGACGACACCTGCCATGCAACACTAGGTTAAGTCGTAATAATGTCTGGTTCTGAAAGCGAAAACTGGGGTAAGCGAGACCCGGGGTACAAGGCACACTTATGAGCGTTATGCAAACCATCAATGTTGATCATGTATATTGTAAATAAAACTCGAGAAATGCAGCTGATGAAGAAGATGCTTTAGTGTCCTTGATTTCAAGATAATGAGAGTACAAAGGTCGACGAGGTAAATACATGTACATTTCTTGTTGTTTAAGGATAGCACATCGTCGAAATACCTGAATGTCAAATTAAAGGACTTTGCAAGGTTTTTGTACAAGTCCTGATAAGCTCGTCACTGAATTTAGTCTCGTATTAAATCAAAAACATTTGGGAAAGAAGAGCGGCACAGTTTCTTCGCACAGGAATGGCTGCAGTCTGATAGAAAAATCCTGCCATTGAACTGAACAAAGAGATGTCAATAGGAATATGCCAGATATGTGCATTGTGGTCCATGCTTATCATATACGTCACAGGAATTGTGATCCGTGCCACTGTATATATAGAGTATATATATACGTAAATGTCGTAGTCAAACTATGTTTATATCAATAATACGCTCCGTGGCCTATGAATCGGCCAACAATTTGTTGGAAACAACTGCACTGCTTCAAAGACTTAGACTGATATGAAAGCAAATACGTAATGAGGCTGAATTAGCTACATTATGTAGTTTAATTCGGCCCAAAGCTTATTAAGATATTAGAGTGACGTCAGCAAACTCAATCGGACTGTTTATTAACACAGAACCATATATTACAGGTTCGATGTCCTGTTGTAAACGATACAATGACTAAAGGATACTATGATCTTAATTCAACTCACATAGACGATGCAGATGTTGAAGATTATATGCAAATACACACGTTATTGGAGAAATCCCATTATGTGCGAGTTTGATACAACAATACTGAACTCAGCACATTATATCTGTGTATATTGATTGCTAAACAAAATGTCTCCCACGGTGACTTGGCCTCTGGGTCCCGTGTTTGTGTCTAAATGCCGTGTCAATGGTCAGCCGATCTTGTGAAACCACCGGCATATATACATGTACTTTCAGCATCGATCTAAACAACCATATGCCATAAAATGCATCATCTTTTTGTATATTCATATACAATAAACTAGCCATATACATATTCATATGTCGATAAAATTGTTTACATATAGCAAACTAAAACATCAGCCTCGATGTCCATCTGCAACTCCAACCATTTATATACCATACATACAGTACCAATAACAACAGCATCCACCACATCAGTCCAATATAAATAACATTAATCTTGCATAACATTAAAATTCATGAACTGCATCATATAAAAATACTTTAAACTGCATCATTTACCGTAACATGCAAAAACAGCATCAAATAACACGATATGTGTCAACTTCCACTCATTCAAATAAAATGCATATTCTATCAAAACATTCATAAGCTGTACTATAATCAGGGTTAATTTACCATAAACTGCAATACAACAGTTCAAATACCGTAAACTACAGTTGCTACCAAAACATTCAAATGCCATATTAAACTGCACAATGTACATATATATCCACTAACAATCCTTCAAACTGCAGTTATTTGCCTTAATATCAAATAATATAATAGCTTACTTATCAATTCAATGTACAAATGTATATATCAAACTTCGTGACGTACCTGCATTTTTAAGTGCATCGTTCTTATACCATAAACAGCACTATGTCCATGAATATTCCATGACAACCCTTTGAACTGCAGAACATACCTAAATACATATACAATAAACTGCATCATCTACTTTTCGTTGAAATATTATGAACAACATCATCTACCTACATTCATATACCATAAACTACACCGCCTACCTACGTTCATATGCCATAAACTATATCATACCTACGTTAATATACTATAAACTACATCATTACGTATAATTACATCATCTACCTACATTCATTTACCATAAACTACAGTGTACATCATCTAGCTACATTCATATACCATACACTACACCGTCTACCTACGTTTAAATATTATGAACCACATCATCTACCTACATTCCAATACCATAAACTGCATCATCTACCTCAATATACACTGCACCATCTACAAAAACGAATATAAATCGTACTGACACAAACCATAGCCGCCAATCTACATAAACCCCGACATGCAGAACAACAATGCCCCGTTTATATGCCTAGGGATGCTGCGGTGGCGTTATCCACGTCCTCAGACACTAGTAAACATGTTTTATCAACAACTTGGATCAAGATACGCGTTGTCGGTAGATTTTAACAGTGGTATCACTAGACTCTTTGACAATGTGTATCTGGCAATGTTGTGAAAGTAGTTCTGAATGTGTTGTACGCCTATAATGTCGCCAGTGATTAAACGAACACAATATCGACGTTCACGATCGCCGATCAGGACTTGGTAATCGAACGTCAAACGTTGACAGTAGAAGATGTCGGATGGTGCTGAAACTGGGACGTAAGGGCCATGGGGTGGTGATCTGACGGTGGACCTACCTGTGGTCTGACGAAGTCCGAGGGGTTGTCATGGTTCAGACCGAGACTCTCGGGCCTGAACTCCTGGACCAGACTCTCCGTACAGGACTCCATATTGGTTCTCCTTAATGACGTCCTCCCCAGTTCTACAGTTCGTCAACGAGAACAAATAAATCCGATTACTTCATTCTTTCCATGTTGATTACACAACAGGAATATCCTAGAACTTCCAGCTGGGTGATGCCGTGGTCCTAGATGTGATCTGAAGGGAACTTCCCGGCGCTAAAACCCTGAGCACTAGTACACAGAAGACCACAGCTCCACACAGATCGATAGTCCGTCGGCGTGTCGCCCCTCATCCCGCATCTAGGATTCAACCACACAGCGAGATGCAGCTGGCATATATTAATTATGAGAGTAAGTCCATGTTTGACAACATACATTCACATAATACTGCAATATAGAGTTAGCGAGGAGACGGTTTGGCTTCCTAACATGTTTTGCTTCATAAATCTGCAATATAAGTTTGTCACATTTCTGTGACGTTTTCTGACTGCAGTAGACTTTTAATTTTTTGAGGTTCGTCAAAAGCTGTGTTCGACGTTGAAATCCTATTCGATAATCGCTCATCAAAGGTTTTGGAAATCCGGAAACACGTCAGCTCTCGGATTAACGAATAGATTAATTGTTGAGTCCGGTTAATCGAAAGAGTTTTCCGTATGTTGATGATATTGTCGGATATACATTGGACAATTTGCAGCTTGAAAACATTAAGGAAATATTCACCATACATGTAATTAGAATGTATAGTAAAACCTCGTTATACTGTCATGTCGAATCAAATTTTGGCGTTATAAAGGGTTCAGTGGTATATTGAGAAAGACGCAAAAAAAAGTGCTAAGTAAAATGTAATATTGGATTACATTGGCGGTAAGCGAGATAATAGAACAGCCGTTATAGCGATATTATTGCAAATAAACCAGGGACCATATATCGATATTGAAGTGTAACAATAAACGTTATATAATAATGAGCATTGTCAAGTGGGTGCGAACGTCTGTTACTGCATGTCTTCTTTAAGAGGAAATGCCAATATTTTCATCTTGTACACGTCAAATGATACCAATCATCACCCGGATATAACGAGACAACTAGGACATGAGCACATTAAACATTAATATCATGTTCGCTAGGTATATTGATTCAGAACAAAATCATTTATATCAATGGGACATATGTTACGATATATGGACTTATGCACCCGCCATCAAACGTAATCCATAACAAATGTTATTGTTTATCACATAACAGTATCGGCACCTGTACAAAGTGGAACCTGTAAATAATGACACTTGTTCACAGCAGAACATGTACATAGTAGAACCTGTACATAATGGCATTTGTTCACGGCTGAACATGTACATAATGGAACCTGTACATAATAGAACCTTTACATAATGGCATTTATTCACAGCTGAACATATGCATAGTGGAACTTGTACATAATGGCATTTGTTCACAGCAGAACCTGTACATAGTGGTACTTGTACATAATGACATTTGTTCACAGCAGAACCTGTACATAGTGGAACTTGTACATACTGACATCTGTTCATAGCAGAATCTGTACATAGTGGAATTTGTATACAGTACGACATGTATATAACGGAATTTTTACACAATGGAACCTGTATAAAGTGGAACCAGTATATACATAACGGAACATGTACATTGTGTAACCTGTATATAGTGGAACGTGTACACGGTGGAACCTGTACGCAGCGAATTTTTTACATAGTGAATTTCGTACACCGTGTAACCCGTATACAGCAGAACGTGAACTCAGTTGAACGGATCTTGTACATAGTTGAACGTACACATAGTTGAACCAGGAACTGTTTCCTATTATGTGCTGGCTACAATTACAAATATTTAAACTCGTTTCCTAAATTTCATATCAAATGGAACTTATGCAAGATCCTATATATATTTCATTGGGTGTCAGGGTTATCGCCGCGTGTACATGTTCGCAATGGTTACTTTCAAGTGATGTAAAGACGTACAGCCAAGGTCTTGTGAAGACGAGTGCGTACTGAGACACCGACGAAAAACCAAGTAGGGAAAGAGATAAAGGAAAAGATGGATGATCAGCCTTTGGAGAAATGTCATGCGCAATTTTTGATAAGAGAAATAATCTTGATGTACGATGTATTTATCATTGCAATTTAATCCTTTTCGGTAGGTGTAACAATTTAATGTCCAGCCACTAGGTTTGTTTCTTTCCGTAAAGAATATTTCGAAAGAGCGAACGCAGTGTAATAATTTCTCACATAAGACACAATATTGAGTTTTGGATTGTCGTCATGTGTTCGTGTGTCATTCCGATTTTTATAATACATGTAGATATAACTACGGAAGCCGGTAAGTGTCTCAAGAACTGCGACATTCCATCAAACTCGAATCGTAAATACATCTCCGAGCTAGGCCTAGTATTGTGATATATCTGTGTCGTAACTACCTGATATATGTACATGTAGTTACATCCTGTATGTCGTAGTTGCGACGTAAAATATGTTAATGTACGTGGCACCGATTTGCTTCCATACATAACTGTGTGGTGTGGTATAAAGAGTCCAGCCAGTGTACGATCAACACACTTTAAGAACTGTAACAGCTGGACACTTTCTACATATAAGGTAGTTTTCCGATACTTACACAGCAAGCTGAAGACGTCACTCGAGACGTGATCCCGCGTCACTGCCGTGATCAGTATTTCCTATGACATCTGGACCTGTGGGATAGTGTCATAGGCTTGTTATTATTCATCCCAATCCAGATTTTATTAGATCATAAATGACGACAAATCCCTATGACATATTTTTTTTATGTATATGTGTCATATATGGAATACGACAGCGCCAACATGGAGACGTTTCTAGAAAACTGTTTGCTATCGAGCTTCGAATTCTTTAATGCAGTCATAACTTGTCCTAGCGATTCTGTCTGAAACTTAAAGCCAATTTAGTGTTTAAAATGTAAGGTTTCCCATTGATACAACTGTTTCAAAACACAACTAGTAAATTAAGTGGTTGGATCGATGATGGTAAAATGTACGTGTTGTATAATGTCAGATAAAAAAAAATGTAATATAGCGTTAATAATGTCAAATTTACAACATATAGATATCGTATACTGTAAATAAATAAATTAAGGATGCTTGCTCTTTGATAACATGTTTTTGAATTTTTTTTCTAATTGGTTTTACCTTTAGACAATCGACTTTTAGCAAAATTGCTGTGTTTCGATCAAATCTTAGTTATTTTTTAAATAGATATATTCATCCTTGACAGGAAAATAAGTTATTTGGAACCTGTCATCTATGTACGAAACCTAATGTATGAAAAGCATATTCACATAAATAACGCCAGCTACAATTCTGTATTATGCAATTGTGTAATCTAGAATAAAATAGCGATATGTTTTGGGTAAAGATCCGTTGTGTTCCCACTAGACAAAACGTAGTAACCAAAAGTAACGAAAATAAACTTTTTCTTTCAATCCAATGATAACATAAAACGACACTGGCCTAGAGACAAGGTTGTAACAAACGGACCAGGATGAATATAAGGAAGTTAAGCTAGGTTTACAATTATATATGAGTTGGTAGTTACCAGTTTAGATGAAAAGATAATTTCGGGGTTTTTTTTGTTTTTCTTTTTCTCATACAAAGTTGACCATGCTTGTAACATCGTGGATCTCAGAAATGTGTCTCGTATTGCAAATATGAGATCAAATATGTTTTCACTTATGTATCGCAAAAAGAGCAGATAACCAATGAACGAATAATTTGGTAATGAGCTCAAAATGAAGGGAACAATTGTCAAAAAAGGAATTTATCAAGATCTTCCATTTAACAGCAGACAATGAAACAACACGAACCAAACAGCTGTGAAACAACACGAACCAAACAGCAGTGAAACAAGACAATACAAGCAGTTGTGAAACAAAACAATACAAACAGCTGTGAAACAAGACAATACAAACAGCTGTGAACCAAGACAGAGCAAACAGCTGTGAAACTAGACAATGCAGACAGCTGTGAACCAAGACAATACAAACAGTTATGAAACAAGACAATACAAACCGTTGTGAAACAAGACAATACGAACAGCTGTGAAACAAGACCGAACAAACAGCTGTGAAACAACTCGAACCAAACAGCAGTGAAACAAGCCAATACAAGCAGTTGTGAAACAAGTCAATACAAACAGCTGTGAACCAAGACAATGCAAACAGCGGTGAAACAAGACAATGCAAATAGCTGTGAAACAAGACAAAACGAACAGCTGTGAAACAAGACCGAACAAACAGCTGTGAAACAACACGAACCAAACAGCTGGGAAACAACACGAACCAAACAGCTGTGAACCAACACGAACCAAACAGCAGGGAAACAAGACAATACAAGCAGCTGTGAAACAAGACAAGGCAGACATCTGTGAAACAAGACAAGGCAAACAGCTGTGAAACAATACAATCCAAACAGCTGCGAAACAAGAAATACTAACAGCTGTGGAACAAGACAAAGCGAACAGTTGTGAAACAAGACAAAACAAACAGCTGTGAAACAAGAAAATACAAACAGCTGTGAAACAAGTCAATGCAGACAGCTGTGAAACGAGACAAAGCGAACAGTTGTGAAACAAGACAAAACAACCAGCTGTGAAACAAGACAAGGCAGACATCTGTGAAACAAGACAATCCAAACAGTTGTGAAACAAGACAAAACAAACAGCTTTGAAACAAGACAATGAAAACAGCTGTGAAACAAGACCGAACAAACAGCTGTGAAACAACCCGACCCAAACAGCAGTGAAACAAGCCAATACAAACAGCTGTGAACCAAGACAAAGCGAACAACTGTGAAACAAGAAAGACCAAACAGCTGTGAAACACCACGAACCAAACAGCAGTGAAACAAGCCAATACAAGCAGTTGTGAAACAAGTCAATACAAACAGCTGTGAAACCAGACAATCCAAACAGCTGTGAAACAAGTCAATGCAGACAGCTGTGAAAAAAGACAGTACCAACAGCTGTGAAACAAGACACTCCAAACAGCTGTGAAACAAGACCGAACAAACAGCTGTGAAACAACACGAACTAAACAGCAGTGAAACAAGACAATGCAACCAGCTGTGAAACAAGACAACCCAAACAGCTGTGAAACAAGTCAATGCAGACAGCTGTGAACCAAGACAAAGCGAACAACTGTGAAACAAGAAAGACCAAACAGCTGTGAAACAAGACAATTCAAACAGCTGTGAAACAAGTCAATGCAGACAGCTGTGAACCAAGACAGAGCAAACAGCTGTGAAACTAGACAATGCAAACAGCTGTGAACCAAGACA